TGTGATAGTTTACATGGGAGAACATTAGCTTTACATTCATCCTATCGTATTTCATTTCATTGCCATGATTACAATCCCCTCCATGCATCATCAAATAACCAAAGGATATACCCCGTAAGCCTACCCCTCGGTCGTCAAATCAAACTTTTTTTTGTATTTCCCAAATGATTCTCATATAGTCCAATATTTGAGATTGAATTATAAACTGTATTTAAATAATCATAGCATTACCAAAATTAATTGGTTTCTGATTTAGAATAAGCATTAAACAAAACAAAAACTTAAGCTGATGTTAACAAATGATCTTCATACAGAAATTAAAACTGTGTCAACTGTTGTTCTAAATATTTACTGTTTGAATTCAAATAAAAATCACTTTAGGATTTATTTTTTTAAAGAGAGAGTCATCTATGAGCTGTGTGACCCTAGGTGTGTAAATTAGCATTACTGTGCCTCAATTTTCATATCATTGAAATGCGGGTAATGATATTCAAGGCAATTTTGAGGGTTAAATGATTTAATATGTATAAGTATGTAGACCTGAGCCAGGACATTGTAAAGATGCTGTGACTATTAGCTATTTTGATGGCTAATTTTGTAGGGGTCCTGAATACTGAATAAATGACACATTTGAACTCAGTTGGCTGTAAGATGGCCTGACAGATAAAATTCTGGGCCAAGCCAGGTAGTGTTCCTTGGGACAAGAGTCTCCTAAGACAGCCTTAAATAACATAATGTTTGACTGCCATCCCCCTTGCCATATAACAAATCCTAGCCAGAGGAGTGTCTATCCTGTCATGTTTGCCGTATCCCACTTGTAAGAAGCAAGTCTCAGATGATAGAATTGTCCAATGTGGTGATCTTACAATTGTGCATGCCACATAGATTAGAGATGCCTGGTTTTGTCTTTCTGTAAAGGAATCATGCTTTACTCACTTGCTGCACATCTTTCACTTAATATGATGGTTTTGAGATTCACCCACATTGTTGTGTGTAGTTGTTCATCCTCTGTGCTGTGCCGGATTCCATTGTGTAGCTGCACCATAGTTTATTTATTTGTGGCTATTAATGGGCATTTGGGTAGTTCTAACTCATAGCGACCCAGAGTTTCTGAGAAGCCAGTGGTGGATTAGAACCACCAAACCATATGGTTAGCTATCCAGCACTCATCCTACAGTGTCATACCTTATAGGTCTTAATATCTGGTAACGTAAGTCCTTTGACTTTGTTGCTCTTCTACAAACTTGTCTTTATCTTCTTGAGCCTTTTCATTTCCTTGAATACATTTTTTTAAAGTTTTCATTGTGAATTTAGTAATTGTTTACATGGGAGAACATCGGTTTTGCACTCATCCTATCATATTTTGTTTCATTGCAATGATTACAATCTCCTACATGTATCATCATTTAACAGTATTTGCTTCTATTCCCTCTGGGGGTTTTTTGTTTTTGTTTTTTTTGATGTACATACAAACACTCAGAAATATATAATTATTTAAACAACTAAAGAGCACATTCTGCGAGCCTGCTTCCTGGTCACCAGCACCTGGCTGCCAGCCCACAGCCTTTTTCTTTCCATGAGTCTAGAGTCCTCAGCTGCTCTGTCTATCCATGTCCTCATCTCTGCGTCCATCTCTGGTGTCTCTGCTTCTCTGAATAGGGTCCCACATTCCACTCATGCTCTTCTCCTCTGATGGTCCTAGGGTCCTCTGTTCCTGGACTGTAAGTTTAACTACTCCCCGCTTTTTGCTACAAAACTTCTACCTTTATAGTTTTGACAATCACGATTAGTCATGATAACAATTATGCACTATTGAATCAAAAGAATCCTATCCCCATCTCCTTTCACCAGACCCATCTAGACAAGATGAAAACTATTCAGTGGGGATTCTACCTTCCCCTGCACCTCTGAAACTAAACTGCCTCTTGAAAATCTGTTAAGTCAGCCACTTCATGTCTTTATAGCTGCCCCCATTTTAGGTAGACAATGTCTAAGTTGCCCATCCCTATCAACCTTATATACAGAAGAGATAGGTTTGATCCTTGATGTCAAGACTCCTTCCCTCTTGGTTGGTATTTTGAACTACAACATTCATAAGTATAGGTCAAGTTCATCAAATTGTAGCAATTTATACTTGCTTCCTATATCAAATTTATCTTCCTCTAGTCCAGTTCTGATCATCAAGCCATCAAAGCTAGGTCAAATGGGTACTATCTGCAAGTTTGGGCATTCTTGTGTATCTCTCCTCACTTCATTTCAGTTGGATGCTATCAGCTCTAGGCCTCCATGACTAGGTCAGTGTCCGTGGGCTCAGGGGTTCCCAATTCTCCCCAAACTATGGACCAACCATCCTTTCCTCTTCTGTTTCTCATCTCAAGGTCAACAGGAGTTTATGGAACATGGTTGAACTCAGTCCATACCTTCACTACTGCCTTGCCCCCACTTCCACTTACATGTAGACTAACGAGGTCACCAACAAACTTGCATGCCTGCTTGTGTGTTCCCTTTGAACCTTGAATACTTTTTAATTTCCAAAAAAAAAATTCCAATCTTATACAAGAAAGGAAAACTATGTGGGGCAAAAAAAGAAAGGCTATGCATAGAATATTAACATTTCTGTGATGCTGCACCTGTTTTTGTTTTCAGAATGTTTTAATAATGAGCATGACTGCTTCTGAACTCAGTAACAAGGGCCCTTTCTCCCAGACAAGAATGATCAACTAGCTTTTTGGCCATGCTCTGACTATGGCAAGAACAAATAAAAGACCCAATTCTAAGTTTGCTTCATTCTGGAGACATAGTGTAAAGAGCTGTGTGTTTTGCCTATAATTTTGCTCAAGTGATTAATGATGAAATTATTAATGACTCTTTCCTCTTTCACTAGGACAAGCTGATTGAGACCAGTACAATATCTGAAACTCTCAAGGATCTCTTGAAGCATCTGGTTAGCTCTGCTTCCCCATCAGTGGTTCTGAGCACAAAGCCCATGGGTGTCAAGGAAGTTCAGGTAAACCTGCTCTAGGAGGTGGGTGTTTGTTATGCACACCTGTCCTGGAGAACCTGTCCATTTCCAGCATCCCTCCATCTCCATGGCAAAGCCAAGATGTGTGGATGCTTACTGATCAGTCATTGTCATTCACAGTATAGAAGGAAGATGTACTATGCTGTCCAGGCTACGCTGCCCAGCCTGGACAGCTCTGCATAGGACCACTTCCATCTAGTGCTGGGTCTCTGGTTTTCTGGTGCCCATACATGACTTTGGAGTCCTGGTGTGGCACTCGGGGTTAATGCACTGGAATGCAAAGTCATTTTGACCGTGGTTCAGGCTCACCAGCTGCTCCTTGGAAACCCTATATAGAATCTCTTTGGGTTGGAACCGACCCAACAACACTGAACATACATGACTTTTGATTGTCCATTCAGAGCCTGCCATCTTAGACCTTAAGTTTTCCCAAATGGAGATTCCAGGAAGTCAAACCAGTCCTAAGAATATGGTGCCATAAACAGGTAGAACAAGGAGCATTGGACAGGCTGAGATTATTTCATCCAAGCCAGGGGACAACAACCAGACCGTCTAAAGAACATCCTGCCTGTAGCAACCACTTTCTCTCTTATAGGCAGAGCATTAATTTGGACTAATTAGGCCCATTTCCTTTGTGTAACCCCTTGACCATACTGCCATTTCCCTCCCGACTATGTTCTCTCTGTACCATCTGATTTGGTCATTGATTCTTTGGTTAAATCATTATCTAGAGCACTTGCCCTTTGCTCTAATCAATCTCATTGGGCCTACATTCTCAAATGTCCCTTGACAGTACATTTGTAAATCTTTGCTTGAGGTACCTTAATTTTCTCAACTCTGAACTATGTAAACCATGTCGTGGCTCTAGTGGATAGGCTGGACTGAAAACCATAAGGTTAGTGGTTCAAACCCACCAGCTGCTCCCTGAGAGAACGATGAGTCTTTCTGCTCTTGCAAAGATTTATAGCATTGGAAACCTCATAAAGGGTTACTATGAGTCGGAACCTACTGGAAGACACTTAACAACAACAACAAAATATTTATGGAGAAAGAAAGAGAGAGAATAAATCATTAATATCATACATAAGTAAAATATTGCTGAAAATACTTCAAAAATGGTTGCAGCCATTCAACAACAGGCAAATCCAGAAATTCAGGCCGGATTCAGAAGAGGATGTGGAGTGAGAGATATCATTGCTTATGTCAGATGGATCTTGGCTGACAGCAGAGAATATCAGAAAGATGTTTTCCTGTATTTTATTTACTATGCAAGGGCATTTGATTGTGTTGATCATAACCAACTAATGTGTAACATTGTGAAGAATAGGTATTCCAGAATATTTGTTTTATCCATATTTGTTCAATCTGTATGATTGGCAATTAATCTGAGAAAACAGACTATATGAATCAGGATTGGAGGAAGACTCACTAAATAACTTGTGTTATGCAGGTAACACAACCTTGCTTGCTGAAAGCAGAAGACTTGAAACACTTCATGATCAAAGTGTTTCAGTCTTTAGTATGGATTACAACTCAATATAAAAAGAAAGAAAACAATCCTCACAACTGGATCAATAAGCAACATCATGATAAATGGAAAAAAGATTGAAATTATCAAGGATTTCATTTTACTTGTGTCTACAATCAACACTCATGAACGCAACAGTCAAGAAATTGACTGACATATTACATTGGGCAAATCTGCTGCAAAAGCCCTCTTTCAACTTATGCATGTGAAAGCTGGACAATGAATAAGGAAGACTGAAGGACTGATGCCTTTGAATTATGGTGTGTTGGTGAACAATACTAAATATGGACTGCTGGAAGAATGAACACATTTTTCTTGGAAGATGTACAGCCAGAGTGCTCTTTAGAAGTGAGGATGGGCATGTTATCAGGTGGGACCAATCCCTGGAGAAGGACATCATGCTTGGCAAAGTGGAGGGACAGTGAAAAAGAGGAAGACTCTCAATGAGATCGATCGGCACTGTGGCAACAACACTGGGCTCAACCATAGGAATGACTTTGAGGATGTTGCAGGACTGGGCAGTGTTTGGTTCTGTTATGCACGTGGTTGCTGTGAATCAGAGCCAACTCGACTGCACCTAACAACAACAACATATATGTTTGTGTGTATTTGCATGTATGTATATTTGGTCGCAAGCTGTGTAGTAAGTTCTGACTCATAGTAATCCTTTTATCAGATTTCTGAGGCTGATTACAGGCGCAGAAAGCCTCATCTTTTTCCATGGAGCTAATAGATTCAAACTGCTTACTTTTCAGTTAGCACCCCAACTTATAACCTGCTACACTACAAGGGCTTCTCCATGGATGCACATGCAAGTACATGCATGCATGTATGTGTGTATGTATATGCACATATATATATTGTTGTTAAGTGCCATTAAGTCAGTTCCAACTCATAGCAATCCTGCATAGGGTTTCCAAGGAGCAACTGGTCGGTATGAACCCCTGACCTTTAGCCCTAGACATTACAGAGTAGAACTGCTTCATAGGGTTTTCTTGGCTGTTATCTTTACGGAAGTGAATTGCCAGTCCTTTCCTTCCATGGAGCCACTGGGAGACTTTGAACCACTAACCTTTCAGTTAGCAGCCAACCATAAACTGCCTGTATCATCCAGGTTTCTTATACATAAATAACATATCAACCAAAAATCTTACCCCTAGTGAGTTGAGTCTGACCCAGTGACACTGTATAGAGCTGCCAAGACTATAAATCTTTACAGGGACAGACAGGTACTCATCTTCTTCCTGTGGAGCTGCTGGTGGGTTTGAAGTGCAAACATTGCAGCCCAGTGCTTATCCCATAATACCACCAAGTCTCCTTATAAAATACATATGTGTTATACTTATTTGCAGTTTTTATGTAGCATGGTAGAAGATCCTTCTTTATCCTCTAGTTCTCAGTGATGTCTGTTTGGAAATAGTATGGTTAGATGATTTTTATGATGCGGACTTTTGGTCCTTTTTCACAGCAGGTAACACAGCCATTAGTGTGTAGAGTCTGGAGACCCTGGTTCCTTGGACAAATCCCAGTTGAATACATGTTTTGTACTCGGCTCTGGGCACTGGGGGTCTTGAGAATATCAGAAACCATTCTTGCCCTCCTGATGCTCCCAGTTCAGCAGAAAGAGCAGATGGGTGAGCAGATGAGGATGTGTGGTCCTTACTCATGGATGTTGTACAAGCTTCCCAGGGGGCCAGGGCAGGCTGGAAGCAGTCTCCCAGGAGGAAGGGCTCAGCCAGGCTTCCCTAGAGGTGAGGGCAGTCTCTGTATCTACCCTTTCTGAACTTTTTTCCTGGTGACTTATTTCAGATCAGCAGTTCCTGATCATAAATATGTGAATAAATTGCTAATGTCAACTTTGAAGGGACTTCACATAATAGTGGTATATATCTAGAATACATTGGTTTAGAAAAAAATAAGATGACCAAAGCTACCATAGACTGAGTGATACTTTTAAATAAATTTGCATATTGTATTTCTCTAAATAGTCTACAAATACACAATTGAAGAAAGTATGTCATCTCTACCCCAGGCATGTGGATCATACAGTCTCCAGTGCCCATGTGCCTGGGTTTCAGGGACTTTTACAATGGCTTCTTGAGCTCCTGGCCCACCTCAGCTCTGAGTCGGCAGCTTCTGCCTCAGAATGGCATTTTCTACAATACTTGGGTCATTTGAGATGTCACTTTGCACTCTGTCCAAAGAGCATTCTGAGGTCAGGTCCACACTTGATACCACTGCCTGGAATATTTTGCTTCCAAAACTCCCAACATTGTAACTGAGGAGCCCCCTTAAGGAAAACCCACAACACAGAGTTAAACTGTGAGCTAGTTTGTGACCTGCTAGTATGAAGGTAGGGTCCTCCAGCTGTGGGGTTGCTTTTTGTTGGAAATGCCTTGATGCTAATTGTAGGGTACTGGAAGACCGAAGCATCAGCCAGCTGCACCTGCCCTTCATTCTCCAGAATTCTGACCTCTGGCTGAGGGTGGGAAATGAGCATGGCTGCAGCGCCCTAGCCATTTCATCCAGCTGTGAGCTGTGGGAAGAGGGCACCTGCCGCTGCAAGACAGTGCCCTGATTCTCTTATGCATTGCCCAGGAGAGACTGTAGACTCATCACAAAATTTGTTCCCAGGATAAACCTACAGCGAGATTCAGGGAAAACATTCTCTATGGCCAAAGACGTTAACAATTCTCATTTGCTTTATTTGAGAGATCAGAGACTCCCAAACAAGGGATATAGTCCTGGTTTGTTGACACCCTTTCTTCCCATGAGAGTCCCTGAGTGGTGCGCACAGTTAATACACTTGACTGCTAACCAAAATATAAGAGGTTGGAGTCCATCTGGGGGCACCTTGGAAGAAAGACTTGGCAATCTACTTCAGGAAAACCAGTTCTTAAAGACCCTATGGAGCAGAGTTCTACTGTGACCAACATGGAGTTACCAGAAGTCAGAGATGACTTGGAAGCAAAAAGGAAAGATTCAGGCTGTAGGTTTTCTAGAAGACTCCCTCCCACCCACCTCCCACATAATAGTCCAGTGGCTGCCTCCTCAGCCTGATGCCTTTCCCACGGGGTCATGGGTCATGCCCTTTGTTTTTCTTTCCACAGACTCTACAACACGCTTCCACTGCTCCTCAGGAATCTTGCCCTCCCAAACCACCACGGGCTCATGAGCTAAAACTGCTGGTGAAGAACATCAAAGCCTCGCTGCTAAGTGACTCTGGTGCTTCAGGTAGCGATGGCCTGGCAGAGGGCTTTCTGGGATGATGGTGGGGAACCCAGACTGTGTCTGAAATATGAGCACCAGCTGGGAATAACTGGCTTCCCAGTGCTAAGTGGCCTTTGGTTGCTCCTGTGGCTTCATCAGATATAGGTGCTCAAGTTGGGGAGCCAGGTCAAGAAAGACCTCCGGTCACTGGTATTCCTTTTCCTATAGTCTTGCTATTTACCACATAGATACATTTTAATGTCCTGACAGAACTCGTCTTTCCTAGAAGATGAGCCACCTTGTAGGTAAATCGCAGGGTCTTAGGGGGCAGTAGGTCATCAGGGGTGCTATGAGATTTGTGGTTGCACAGTGGCTTTGTAGGATAAACACTGGACTCTGAACCATAGGGTCGGTGGTCCAAGGCCACCAGCCACTTTGGAGGAGAAAGATTAGCTTTCTGCTCTAGAAAATATTTACAGCCTAAAAAAAAGATTTACATCCTGTACGGGGTTGCTATGAGTTGTTATCGACTTGACAACACTTACCAACAACAATAGTATCTGAGTAAACATAATTGTTGTACACAGACTCCCCCTTTTCAGTGATTCTGAATTCTTGTTCAGGTTCAGAATGTGTGTATCCTGCATAGGATGCATGTCTTTCCATTGTAATTCAATTTTGCTAAGCATAGGAATTTATTATTATTATTACCATAGAAGAATGTTAGGGGTTGTATGTATTTATTTGCAAGGAGCGTCTTTACCTGGCTCCAAAGTACAGATCTGCTGTTGCTAGATGCCGTTAAGTCATTTTCAACTCATAGTGACAGAGCAGAACTGCTCCACAGAGTAGTGTTTATAGGAGCAGATCACTAGGTCTTTCTCCTACAAAGCCACTGGGTTGCTTCGAACCTTTTAGTTAGCAGCTGAGTGCTTAACCCTTTATGCCACCTGGGCTCCTTAAAAGTATGGTGGTGGTGGCTGTGTGCCGTGGAGTTGGTTCTGACTCATAGCGACCCTGTACAGAGTTTCTGAGGCTGTAAATCTTTACGGGAGCAGAAAGCCTCATCTTTCTCCCGCAGAACAGCTGGTAGTTTCGAACTGCTGACCTTGCAGTTCGCAGCCCAATTCGTAACCACTATAGACTGGCCATATTTAACAACCAAGACTCTTGTAAAGCTTGTGGTGGGTGATTTTTTGGGGGGAAAAATGCCTGAATGCTGCCATTTGAAGGCCATGCTTTTTATTAACTGAGCGTGACCTCCCTGAAGTCAGGCATTGGGGTTGGAGTCCTAGTTCTGGCCTGGACATGCTCTGCTACTCCCCTCTGTCAGTCTGTTCTCATCAAGGTTCAAGTCTTTGGGATTATTGTGAAGATTAAATCTGATTGTGTACGTAAAATACTTAATACTTGCCTGGTGCATGGGAAAGGATCAAAATAGTCTCATGCTTATTGATTACACAGCATATCCAGGGCTTTGTGTCGTACGACAAAAGCAACTGCTCATTAGTAAAATGTTCCTTTATCTGGATCAAATACCCTAAAAGAGGTGTTTGATTGAGCTGAGTTAAGTATAAATAAAAGATCACAGGCTGCCAATTCAGTTCTGACTTGTAGTGACCTGTGTGTGTCAGAATAAAACTGTGCTCCATATGGTTGTCAGTGGCTGAGTGTTCAGAAGTAAATTGCCCAGCCTTTCTTCCAAAGTGCCTGGATACATTTGAATGGCCAAACTTTCTAAGAACGAAGTTCGTGAGCTCTTTGCCCCATCCACGGACTTAAATACATAGATCCATTGTGAGTATGGAAATGGGTTCTCTAGGTGGTACCCCTAAATCTGGGAGCCATCACAGAGCCTTAACACTAGCCCTTTTGTTGGCAAGCAGGTCATCTGCCTGAAAGCTAGGGCATGCCTCTGCTATAGTGTTAGTACCCTAGGGAAGTCCCCACTTCAGAGGCTGTGTCTGCAGCCAGAGGTGCTCACAGGGAGGAGCAGAAACACCTGGGGTCAGTCCCAAGCTGCTGACATCAAGTTTAGGTAAGAGTTATTATAGCTTCAAATGAATGCAGTGCTCTGGGAGATTGTAAATGACAAATGAAAGACAAAATGGACTCGCAGATGTGAACAATCCAGAAACTTAGTCATCTAATGTCAACCTTTCTGTATATGTAAAACAAAACAAAATGTTTTAAGGCTTAAGTAAAAGCCAATACCATGCCTATATTGTTTGATTATAGACCACATGCGCCCAGTGTGCACAGCTCAGCTGAACGACCCCATCCAGAGCTTCTCCAGCTCGCCAGCAAAAAACACTACTGACCTCACTTGGGAAGAAGAGTTCACCTTGTGAGTACATCCTGTGATACCATGGGCTCGTGTTTCCACAGCATACCTGTTCAAGTCTGCCGAGGCCTAGAATCATTTAGCACTGTTTATATGCCCCCCACCCCTCAAAAATTAGTATGGGTTAAGCAACCACAGTAGCATTCAGTTAATTGAGGTAAAAGTTACATCACATATAATGAATTCTTTGAAAGTGAACAATTTGGTGGTATTTAGTACATTCACAATGTTTTGCAACTACTGCATCTCTCTAGTTTCTAAAGTTTCATTACCCCAGAAGAAAACTGCTTTAGTTGTCTGTTGTTAGATTCCATCGAGTCGGTACTGACTCATAGTGGACCTTATGCAGAGCAGAACGAAACACTGCCCGATTCTGGGCCAACCTCACTACTGTTGCCATGCTTGAGTCCATCGATGCTGCCTCTTGGCCAATCCATCTTGTTGGGGGTCTTCCTCTTTTTCTCTGACCCTCTACCTAGTGCTGCTATAACAGAAATACTACAAGTAGTTGACTTTAACAAGCAGAAAGGTATTTTCTCACTGTTTAGGAAGCCAGAAGTCCTAATTTAGGGTACGGCTTGAGGGGAAGCTTTCTCCCTCTGCCAGCTCTGGGCGAAGGTCCTCGTGTCTTTGAGCGTCTGCTCGTGAGAAATCTTCTTGTGGCTTGGCATCTCTTCCCCTCATTCAGCTTCTCTGGTTTGCTGGTTTAATCTCTTTATTATCACGAAAGAGCTTGACTCAAAACGTGTTGTTGCTATTGTTGTTAGGTGCCATCGAGTCGGTACCGACTCATAGTGGACCTTATGCAGAGCAGAACGATACACTGCCCGATCCTAGGCCAACCTCACTACTGTTGGCCATGCTTGAGTCTATCCATGCTGCCACTTGGCCAATCCATCTCGTTGGGGGTCTTCCTCTTTTTCTCTGACCCTCCACCTTACGAAACATGATATCCTTTCCTGTCTGGTAGCATAACAAAGACAACCCATTCCCAAATGGGGTTATAACCAGAGGCATTTGTTGCTGTTAGGTACCAAGGAATCAGGACCAACTTAAGTACCACAGAACGAAACACCGCCTGGTCCTGTACCTTCCTCACAATTGTTATGTCTGAGCCCAGTCAATACATCTCCTCTGGGGTGTTTTTCTTTTTTGCTGATCCTCCACTTTAACAAGCATGATGTTCTTCTCCAAAGACTGAGACTATGTCCAAAATACAAGAGGCCAAAGTCTCGCCATTCCCACTTCTAAGGAGCATTCTGGCTATACGTCTTCCAAGACAGATTTGTTTAGGATTTACAACACATTGGAGGAGAGGTCATAATTCACCAATAACTAAAACCCTCTACCCATAAGTAATCATTCCCTAACCCCCCACCCCAACCTCAGCTCCTGGCAACCACTAGTCATATACTTGTTGGCTGTTTCTGTATCTTATTAGAAGAAATGTCTATTCAAATCCTTTGCCCATTTTAAAAATTAGACTTAGATTTCTTTTTAAAAGTACTTCTTGGTATAGATTTCTTCCTTGCTTACAGCCCCATGCCAGGTTGTGGTTGTAGAACTGTTGTTGGACTTCCCGATTGCTTTAAAACACACACACCCATTCAGAGCAGAGCAGAAGGAAACTGATTGATAACCAATATGTGACAGAGAAAAGAAAAAGAGAAAAGTATAGACAAAGTTCACTTATAAATAGAGATGTAAGGATTTAAATGAAACATTATCCAGTTGAATCTAGCACCACATTAAAAATAATAGAACCAGACTAGTTGGGTGCATTCCAGGAATTTGTTGTTGTTGTTGTTAAGTGTTGTCAAGTCAGTTCCAACTCATAGCAACCTTGTATAGGATTTCCGAGGCCATAAATTTTGTGAGATCCAGGAATTTTAAAGGATGGCTTAATATGAGGAAATCTATTAATGAGATGTATTATATTTCCAGATAATGTCTCCATATATTATCATGTCTCTATATATTCAGAATATATTCCATGACATTATAATACCCTCTCCCAGTCTTAAAAATTCTTAATTAAAAGAAAACGTATGGATGCTTCTTTAATAACATAAATGGTAAAAGATAGAGACCAGAAGCATTTCCACTAAAGTCAAAAGAAAAATGTCCAGTTTTGTTCTGGAAGTACTACTTAATGCAATTAGATAAGAAAACTAAAAGGAAGTGGCAAAAATAATCACTATTTGCAGATAATATTATTGCATATCTGGAGTACTCTAGAAAATAAATCAAAACTATTAGAAATAATAATCGATACAAGGTAGAGATAAATAATATTAGAAAAATAATAATAGGGATTGTAGTTCAGTAAAGTGGCTGATGAGACACCAGTCACTTTCTGATGCTTAAATAATAAGCATTAGAAAAAGATAATGGAAGAAAATGCTCCAATGTGTGCATGTGTATGCGTGTGCACATGTATGTGCGTAAAGAATTTTATAAATCATTAATAAAATTTTAGACACTTCCTTGATTGCATCCTGAGAAAACTGGGCAGAATTTCTGAACTGGAAATATAAAAACACGAAGTATAAATGGCCAGAATTAAAAGAGAAATCAGTTTGCATCTTACATATAGGTGTAAAGAATAAGATAATCATAAGTGGCTACAGGAATTGCAGCAGCCATTCTGGAGACTGGCATATATTTAAAATTTTCTTACATGTCTGTGTTCTTTGGCAATTACAGTTTTCCTAAGGAAATAATCATATAAGATGCAAAGATATATGTATAATTATTTCAGACTGTTTATAATTCTAAAAAAATTAGATATAGCCAACCCCGTATTAAGGGGTAGTTACTAAGGGGTTGGTTGGATAAAATGTCATTGAGCTAGATAGTGGAATACTGTCTAGAAATGATGTCTCATTGAAATGATGTTGTTCTGTATTTATGTTGTTGCTGTTAAGTGCCATTGAATATGCTCTGACTCATAGCAACCCTGTATAGGGTTTCCAAGGAGACGCTGGTGAGTTTGAGCTATTTACCTTTTGGTTAGCAATCCAGTGCTGATCTTACAGCACCACACCAGGCCAAGGGGAAATTTCCATGATAACTTGTTTGAAACAAAACAGGAAATTTTCAAAGGAGGAGAGAGGTATGCTATCTTCCGTATTTTGTTTTTAAAAAGCTATATAGCTGCACTTTCCAATACAGTAGTTAGTAGCCATATGTGGCTCTTTAAGTTCATTAAAAACAAATAAACAAAATCACTTCAGTTCCTTTATTGTACTGGCCACATTTCAGGTGCTCAGTATCTGTATGTGACTAGTGGCTACTGTATTGGACAGCACAAATGTAGAACATAACCATCACTGCAGAAAGCTCTGCTGGAAAGCTCTGGAAGACTATTCACCAAACTGTTGACAGATTATTTCTGGGAAGTAAGGTTGCAGGATCATCCTTATTTCATTGGTTATATGTCTCATCATTTCTTAAATATTGATAATGCTGTGTTCCTTTCTATAATCAGAAAAAAATACGATTTAAAAAAATAATAATAGACCACTTTTAAGGATTCACAGCTTTTATCTCTTCCCACAGTGAATTGAACGCCAAGTCAAAGGAGTTACAGTTGCATCTTTCAGAGGATGGAAGATCCTCAGAAGGTGAGTGCTGGGCATTGGATGGAGGCCCTATAGTTGGGAAACTCATCTAACTACCTGGACCCAGCCTAGGGGAATTTAGACAAGGTGGGGACCTGACCAAACAAATGACCCCTTCCCTAATCCACTCTGGGTTCTCACAAGGAAATATTGGGTCCAAAGTCAATTTCAGTTATTAGCATTTGATGAAGGAGTATGTTTCTTTGTTCAATAAAACACAGTGGTTACAACTAGATACATGTTTGAGATATAAGAAAGTAACTATTAGAGGATGTGGATATTGTTATCCTCAAGTTGATTCTGACTCCGCATGTGTAGAGTAGAACTGCCCCATAGGGTTTTCAAAGCTGTGATCTTGAGTGTGACCCAGGAACCTTTGAACTAGTAGTAGAGTGCTTAGCCATTTGAGCCACCCGGGGACTCATTAAACATCCTCACAAACATATCACAGTGGAGAGGGGGATACTTCCTTGGTTTATCCAACATGGAAATCAGGCCATTTTCTTACTTCCTGGTGTGGCACTGTGGGATAAGGCACTGGGCTGAAAGTTTGGTTTGAACCACAAGGTCAGCAGTTCAGACTCACCAGCTGCTCTTCAGAAACCCTATAGGTTGCTATGAGTCAGAGCAGAATCAGAACAGCACTTAACAAGAGCAAATTTAGTGTCCTAGGAAAAAAACAATCCATGGTTCCAGGGATTGGTAAGTATTTTAAGACCATTTCCTTGATCCTGTGACTCAGGGTACTTGTAAGATAAGAGCTGACATTCCAGAGAGATTGGTGGGGATGAGCTCAGTGTGGGGCTGCTGTTTATATGGCCAGTAGCCCATTCCTGGCCACATTCCTTTTGGTTCCAGCAAGATCTCATCCCAGGCCAGTCTGATACGGGACCTATGATATGTGACTTTCACCCGGAAACTGTTGCTCTGAGATCATCTTTAAATCTTAAACCAAAACTATCCCCTAAATCATCTTAAAACTGAACAGCAGATTAACTTAATTAGTAAAACAGGTCTGCCTTGAGCATTATGCTCATTTAAGAACTGTCATTGTTGTTGTTAAGTACTATCAAGTCAGCTCTAACTCATAGTGACCCTGTATAGTGTTTCCAAGGAGTAAACTGGTAGGTTTGAACCACCGACCTTGCAGTTTAAGCTGACCTTGGGATCAAGTATTTATTCTGCAGCATCACACCAGGATTCCAAGAACTATCTATATGGGGTCAAATTGACAGCGGTAACTCAAAAAGATTACATAGGAACCTTTGGGAGCCATGAATGAGGTAATGAGTCAATGAGAAAAGGACAACTTACAGCAAGGCTGAGAATTGTTGCATAGCTCAGAGAATGTAATCAATGTCAATGAATTAACATGGAAAAATGATTGAATTGATATATGTTTTGTTGTGTATATTCTAAACAAAACCAACAAAATAAAATTTAGGGATTAAAAAAAAGAACCATTTCAAATTTATAAACAGTTAAAAAAAAAAATTGTACAAAGAACAACCTTATAACTTTTACCCAGACTCACCTGTTTTAACATTTTGTCCATTTTCTTTACTATTAACACTTTTTTCTCTCACTGATATGTATGCATACACACACAAACACACACACACACACAATAGCTCTTCAGAACTACTTGATGCTAAGTTGGATACGTCATAGGAGTCCTTTGGGTGATACAAACAGTTAAGCACTTGGCTGCTAATCAAAAGGTTGAAGGGTCGAGCACATCCAGAGGCACCTCAGAAGCAAGTTCTGGTGGTCTAACCCTGAAAAATCAGCCACTGAAAACCCCATGGAATACATTTCTCCTCTGACATACATGGGATCACCATGAGTCAACTTTACAGCAACTGTTTGATCTTTGGATTTTGCTATGTCATGGCCCTTCACCCCTAAATTCTTTAATGCACACTTCCTAAGAATGGGGTCTCCTCTTCTGTGCCCACAGTACAGTAATCACCGTATTGAATTTATTCAGTCTATCTAGTAGCGTAGTGGTTATGAATTGGGCTGCGAACCTTAAGGTCAGCAGTTCGAAACTACCAGCTGTTCCTGGGAGAACGATGAGGCGTTCTGCTCCCATAAAGATTTACAGCCTCGGAAACCCTGTACAGGGTCGCTATGGGTCAGAACCGACTCAATGGCACTTAGCAACAACAATCTCCATATTTCATGTTTTGTCAGGTGACCCTATCTCTTTCATTGCTGTTCTTCCCCATTCCAGTATAAGATCTATACTTCTCACCTTCCTTTAGTCTAGAACATTCCACAGCACCCCCCCCCCCCTTTATAACCCTGATATTTTTTAAGTATTCTGAGATGTGAGCAGGACATACGTTAGGAGTGCAGTTATCACTGCTGATAATGACTCTGTGCCCTCATGGAACCTCATGGAAATGTCAGTGATTCTTCTTGCTTGTCTTCTGTCTCTGCAGGTCTGTTTGCAATGACGATAATTCCTTTAGATTTATTTAAGAAGCAGCCTTCTGGACCACAGAGCTTTATGTTGACCAATGGGCCCACCATGGGTAGCCCGGTGGTGGGCTCCATCACTGTGGAGGTATGGCTAAGACTCAGCCTGGTCACTTCAGATAAGGAGTGTCTTATATAAACCATGTTAGACCCCTGTTCTTGTGTCACTGTGTCCAAAAGCCATTTCATAGTACCCATTTCTAGACTTAAATGGATTAGGTTCCATCCACCCTAATGTGTCTGCTATGAACTAGCTTTTCTTCCTGCCATTTCACAGGGGTCTAACCCAGAAAGGCTGTTTGTGTCTGTTTGTGTTTCTGTCTGGGTACCCATCATTATGTACTGAGCGTCTGTGATTGAGCTTGGGTGGCATCATTCTGTGTGTGCTTGGAAATTCCAGGCTAATTGAATTAGGTACTGGCATTGTTTTAGGTACCTAGTTCTGCCATAACACAAGTATCACAAGTGCATAGCTTTTAAAACACAGAAACATATTATCTCAAAGTTCAGGAGGATAGAGGCTCAAACTCAGGGTGTGGTTCTAGAGGGAGGGCCTTCCTTGCATATGCACAGGGTGGACTCCACAGCACACAACAGTGTCTCCCTCTCCTCCTACCCCATGCTTGTCTCTGTTTCTAATCGACTCTTTCAGAACTTAGAAGTAATTGGATGTAGAATCACCTACTTTTACAATGGTTTAATTAACATAACTAAGAAAACTCAAATATATCCAAACAAGATTACATCCACAGGTATAGTGATTAGGATTCCAACACATTTTGGCTGGGGATGGGGCAGGGGTAGAAGGGGCACCACAATTCAATATATAACAGACATTAAGTGAAGAAATCCATGTTTGTTTCAAAGGCAGTCATGGTTGCAGTGGTGGGGATGAGACTTTGCTCTTTTCCAGACTGAGTAACTAGCGTTCTCTGAAGTTTTCTTACGTAGAACCCACTGAATGGAAGCCCTGGCCAATCCCTGCCCCCTTTCCTGCTACGAAGATAGAGAAGGACCGCACAGTGATGCCCTGTGGGACCGTAGTCACAACGGTGACTGCTGTGAAAACCAAGCCTCGTTTCGATGTGGGGAGGGTGACCCCGCTGAGCCCTGGTGAGACAATCATAAGCATAGTGATGCTTTTGTAAACATCTTAACTTCTACACTACAGACCACTGTGGGCTGCGGTGCTAAGTATTATTTAAAATCTCATGGCCAAGGAAGCCTGGTAATTAGCAAGAATTTTGCTTACTACTATTTTTTGGCAATTATGTTTGTATTTTGCTACATAAATATAAAAGGGTACAACCTTGTAGTATATTTTGAAGTCACAATCGAGAGGAAGCAGTTCAGTGGTAGAAGTCCTGCCATGCATGAAGGAGATCTGGGTTTGATTCCCAGTCAGTGCACCTCATGTGAAGTCACAGCACCTGTTAGTGAAGGACTCCGGGTTGCTACGATGGAGTCCTAGTGTGGTGCTGTAGGGTCAGCACTGGGCTGCTAATCACAAGGTCGATGGTTCAAATCCCCAGCTGCTCCTTGGAAGCCCTATACAGGGTCTCTGAGTCAGAACCAACTCAATGGCACTTCACAACAACACATACCGAACGGGTTTCAGCAGAGCTTCCAGACTAAGATGAAGAAAGGCCTGGTGATCTACTTCTGATCATCAGTGAGGAAAAACGTAGTGGATCACAGTGGTCTGATCTACAGCCAGTCATGCAGATGACACAGAAGCCAGGCAGCAATACCATGAATCAGTGCAACTCAAGATAAGCTAACAATAACAAAAACAAAACCCGGATAGTACACTTGAACTCCAACCAAGTTAACTGAAGTTTCCCATTATGTTTATATATAGAAAGCACACTCAGTCTTGAAAAAAACAAAAGCCAGTGGTTAGGGAAGAATTACTTACGTTAAAAATGAATTGTTGTTAGCTCCCAAGAAGTCTGTTCTGACTCACAGCAATCCTGTGCACAACATAATGAAACAACTGCTTGGTCCTGCGTTAGCCACACAACTGTTGCTAAGCTTGAGCCCACTGTTGCCCATTGCCACTGTGCCAATCCATCTCCTATGGGTCTTCCTCTTTTTGGCTGACCCTCTACTTTACCAGAAGGAGCTCTGGTAGCATAGTGGTTATGAATCGGGCTGCGAACCGCAAGGTCAGCAGTTCAAAACTACCAGCTGTTCCGTGGGAGAAAGATGAGGCGTTCTACTCCCATAAAGATTTACAGCCTCAGAAACCCAGTACAGGGTCGCTATGAGTCAGTTCCAACTCCACGGCACATAACCACCAACCACCACCTACTTTACCAAGCATGTCTTTCTCCAGGGACTGGTCCCTTCTGATAACATGTCCGAAGTATGAGAGACGAACTCTTACCACCCTAGAGTCTAAGAAGCATTCTAGCTATACTTCTTTCAACGTAGATTTGTTTGTTCTTCTAGCAGTCCATAGAACTTTTAATAATCTTCTCCAACACCATTACTTGGATGCATAAATTCTTCTATGATCTTCCTTATTCATTTTCCAGCTTACACATGCTTATGAAGCTATTGAAAATACCATGGCTTGGGTCAGGCACACCTTAGTCCTCAAACTGACATCTTTGCTCTTCAGTACTTTCAAAAGGTCTTGTGAAGCAGATTTGCAATATGTCAATTGATTTCTCATCTGCTGTTTCCATGAATGTTGTTAGTAGACTCAAGCAAAATGAAGTCTTCGACAACTTCAATCTTTTCTCCATTTATCATGATGTTATTGATTGGTCCAATGGTGAGGCTTTTTGTTTTCTTTACACTGAGATGCAACCCATACTGAAGGCTATGGTCTTTGATCTTCTTCAATAAATATGTTAAGGCCTCTTCCCTTTCAGCAAGCAAGGTTGTATCACAGGTTGCAGGAGTCTGCCTGCAATCCTGATGCCAGGTTCTTCAGATAATCCATCTTCTTGGATTATTACCTCAGTGAACAAATTGAGTAAATATGATGAAAGAATACAACCCTGGCACTCACCATTCCTGATTTTAAACCATTCAGTGTTTCCTTGTTCTGTTTAAACAACTGACTCTTAGTCATGTACAAGTTCCTCATGAGCATAATTAAGTGTTCCAGAATACATGTTCTCCTCAGTGTTGTCCATAGCTTGTCGTGATCCAATCAAAAGCCTTTGCATAGTCATTAAAGTACAAGTAAGCAGCTTTCTAGTAGTCTCTGCATTGAGCAAAAATCCTTCTGACGTCAACAATGGTATCCCTCGTTCCACATCCTCTCCTGAATCTGGTTTGAACCTCTGACAGCTCCCTGTCAATGTAGTATTGCAGCTGTTTTTTAATTATCTTTAACAAAATTTTACCTATATATGATACTAATTATATTGTCCGATGATTTATGCATTCCGTTGGGTCACCTCTCTTTGGAATGGGCACAAATATGGATCTCTTCCAATCAGTTGGTCATGTAGCTGCCTTCCAAATTTCTTGGCATAGATGAGTCAGTGCCTCCCGTATTGTATCAGTTTGTTAAAGGATTTCAATTTGCATTCATCAATTCTTGGAACCTTATTCTTTGCCAATGCCTTCCATGCACTTTGGACTTCTTCCTTCAGGATCATTGGCTGTTGATCATATGTTACCTCTTGAAATGGTTGAACATCAACCATTTCTTTTTGGTACAATGATTTTATGTATTCTATCTTCTTTTGATATTTTCTGCATAATTCAATATTTTGCCCATAGATTCCTTCAATATTGCAAATTGAGGATTGAATTTTTTTCTTCATTTCCCTCAGCTTGACAAATACTGAGTGTGTTCTTGCCTTTTGGTTTTCTAATTTAGATCTTTGCACATTTCATAATAATATTAGACTTTGTCGTCTCGAGCTGCCCTTTGAAATTTTTTGTTCAGTTCTTTTACCTCCTTCATTTCTTCCATTTGCTTTAGCATCTCTGTATTGAAGAGCATGGTTCAGAGTCTTTTCTGGCATCCATTTTGGTCTTTTCCTTCTTTCCTGTCTAATGACCTTAGCTTTCTTCCTGTATCATGTTCTTGGATGTCTTCCCACATCTCTTCTGGTCTTTGGTCTTTAGTGCTTGATGCATCATATCTGTTCTTGAGATGATCTCTAAATTCAGACCTTGGAATATGTTCAAGGTCATATTTTGACTTTTGTGGGCTTGTTTTAATTTTCTTCAGCTTCAGCCTGAACCTGCATATGAGCAATTGATGGTCTGCCCCACAGTCTGCCCCTGGCCTCGTTTTGACTGCTGATATGGAGCTTTTCCACTGTCCTATTCCACAGATGTAGTCAGTTTGATTTCTGTGTATTCCATCTGATGAGGTCCATGTGTATAGTCATCTTTTATGTTGTTTACAACAGGTATTTACAATGAAGAAGTCACTGGTATTGCAAAATTCTGTCATGCAATTTCCGGCATCATTCTATCACCAAGGGCATATTTTCCAATGACAGATCTTCGTCTTTGTTTCCAACCTTTGCATTTCAATCACCAGTAATTATCAGTATATCTTGATTGCGTGTTTCATCAATTTCAGACTGAAGACATTGGTAGAATTCTTCAGTTCATCACTGGTTTTAGTGGTTGGTAGTAAATCTGAGTAACGGTGGCATTAGCTGGTCTTCCTTATAACATATGGATATTATCCTATCATAGACAGCATGATACTTCAAAATAGGTCTTGAAATGTTCTTTTTAATTATGACTGTGATGCCATTCCTCTTCAATTTATCATTCCCAGCATAGTAAACCATATAAATGGCAGATTCCAAATGGCCAATACCAGTCTATTTCAACTCACTCATCCCTAGGATATCAATCTTTATGTGTTCCATTTCGCTTTTGCCATGTTCCCATTTTCCTAGAGTCATACTTTGTACATTCCATGTTCTGATTATTATTGAATATTTACAGCTCTTTCTCTTCATTTTGAGTTGTGCCCATCAGCAAAGAAGGGTCCCAGAAGCTTTACTCCATTCACATCATCATGGTCAGCTCAACTTTGAAGAGGCATCTCTTCTTCAGTTGTATTTTGAGTGCCTTCCAACCTGAGAGGCTCATCTACTGGCACTATACCAGACAATATTCTGGTGTTCTTCATCATGTTTCAATATTAAATAATCTGGTGCCATCTGACAGTGTTCCACTGTTGTTCATAAGGTTTTCAGTGGCTAAACATCCATAAGTAGTCCACCTCTCTCTTACTTCCTAGTCTGTCTTAGTCTGACTGCTCAGCTGAAACCTGTCCTCCATGGGTGACACTGCTGGGATTTAAAATACAGTGACTTAGCTTCCAGCATCACTGCAACATGCAACAACATGCCACAACAGAACGGCAAGCTGACAGATGTGTGGTGGAATGGAAGTACTAACATCGGTCAATTAAGAAAATAAGAAGCCACTGCCATCCAATTAATTCTGCCTCTCAGTTGCCCTGTAGATCAGAGTAGAAGTACTCCTTACATTCTCTGAGATTGTAAATCTTTATGAGGGCAACTGCCAAATCTCTTTTCCCCTCAGTCCAGATCAGCTGACTGTTGCCTCTTGAACCATCCCCACAGAGATCATTTCTGTATAAATGTCTCGCTTGTTTTTATTTTTGTTTTATTTACATGGTGTCATGTAAGTATCATGCAAAAGTATTGTTTTTCCCAGAGTAGATCTGTGTGTACAGTTCTTGAATTAGAAACAGAAAATGGAATTCTGGTTTAATTTAAATGTTTCTGAAATTGTATTTAGAGTTGGGTTCCTAGAACCATTTTTGACCCAAATAATGATACTACTTCTACTCATAATAGTGATAAAAGAATAAGGGTTGTCTAAGAAGTCTGAAGGTTGACATTGCTTTTACCTCTGAATGAACTAGCAGTAAAGTGAGAGGCAGTTTCACTTTATGGTAACTGTCAATTGCAACAGTTTTGGGGTATCATTTGTAACTGGTGACTTTCTTTGGCAGAGTCTCCTGTGAAAATGCCCGTGAAAGTGAAGGTGATCGAAAAAGACATCTCTGTCCAAGCCATCTCCTGCCACAGTGCCCCCGTCAGTAAAACTTTCTCTTCTTCAGACACGGGTGAGGAATAGTACACTCCCAGTTTTTACCCTCTTAGTGTCTTTTGAACTGTCCAATCTGATATCCCTGCCTTTTGAGAATTTGGGAAGTGATTGTTTCATTTGTTGAGTAAGAAGTAAATATCTACAAGTAGAAAACTTGATCCTAGCCTAGCGTGCATCCCCACTGAAGTTCTAAGACACACGTTAACAAAGCAAATAAAATAATCCAACGATATGACATTCTGGAAAAGGCAAAACTATGGCAACAGTTATAAGATCAGTGGCTGCCAGAGGTTTAGGGAAAGACAGGGAAGGCTGAACTTGTGGAGCACAGAGCATGTTTAAGACTGAAGGATAAGCACTGGACCGCAAGGTTAGTTTGAACTGTAAAGTGGCAATTCAAACCCACCAGCCACTCCTTGGAAATCCTATACAGGGTTGCTCTGAGTTGGAACCAACTCGACGGCACTTAACAACAGCAGGTACAAAGAAGCCAGTCTCAAAAGGCTACGTACTGTACAATCCCAACTGAACATACATTCTGAAAAAGGCAAACTATAGAGACAGTGAAAAGATAGCGGGTTGCCAGGGGTCCAGGAAATGCAGGAAGATGAGCAGGCGGAGCACAGAGCATTTCGAGGGCAGTGAAATTATTCTGTATGAGACAGTCATGGTGGACACGTGACATCTTGATTTGACAAAACCCTCAGGACTGTCCAACACAGATAGTGTGCCTGACTGTAAACTATGGATTTAATAATAAGGTATCCAGATTGAGTCTCAAATTGTAACACATAATCCCACACCAAGGTAACATGCTCATCATAGGGTTGACAGAAGGGGGAAAAAGCCATATGAGAACTGTCTGTGTGTGCTCTCTGAGCAATTTTTATGTAAGCCTAAGACTCACCTAAAAAAAAAAAATGAAGTGTATTAAAATCAACAAAAAAGATGCTGTGGGCTCATCTATGTAGCCAGAGGCCATGGCCGCTCCCTCAGCCAACCTGGTGCTCTAGGATGCAGGGAAGCCCTTGGTGTGGCCTGAGCAGGTGGCACTTCCCATACTCCTTTACTTGGAGGCATTGGCAGTGCAGCACAACATCTTCCAAGGGGTTCTCCCCAGAGACTTTCTCTGAACCCATCTCTCTTTTTACCACTGGTTTTGGCCAAGCAATTTTTCTGCCACCAGTTCTCTTACACACCCTCTGGAAGTATGGTCTCCATTGTCCCTCAAAATGTGGCCTAAGAAATCTCCTTTTATGATAAACACTGGACTGGGAACCACAGGGTCAGTGGTTGGAGGCCACCAGCAGCTCTGAGGAAGAAAGCTGAGACTTCTGCTTCCACAAAGATTTAAAGCCTTGGAAACCCCTATATGGTGTTGCTGTAAGTTGGCACCAACTCGACAGCAGATAACAACTTACAATAGTTTTGTCGTTGCAACTTTGTAGAGTTATGAGCATGAACTCAAAGTCAGACACAGACTGGGCATCTTGGTTCAGCCTACCTGGCTGCTGGGCATTTTCCCCATGAGTAAAAAGGGAATTTTTTTTAAAAAGTACCCTTTTTGTAGGGAGTATGGTGGCTCCATAAGATAAACACTGGACTGCGAACTACAAGGTCCACGGTTCGAACCCGCCAGCTGCTCCGTGGGAGAGAGATGAGGCTTTCTGCTCCTGTAAAGATTTAAAGCCTCAGAAATGCTATACAAGGTTGCTGAGTCAGAGGTGACTCGACGACACATAACAACAATGACAACTCTTACTGTAAAACTCCATAAAAGGTTTTCCTATTCAAACAAATAAATTGTACCCACCTCATAGGGTTTGGAAACCGACTCCATGGCACATAACAACAACAATATAGGGTTTGGGGAGTCCTGGTGTGGCGCTGTGGGTTAATGTGCCAGACTGCAAAGCCATTTAAACTGCAAGGTTGGCGGTTCAAGCTCACCAACTGCTCCTTGGAAACCCTATACAGGGTCGCAATGGGTCGGAACCGACTCGATGGCACTTAACAACAACATAGGGTTTGGGGAACGAAATAACGTACATGAAACTCTTTGATCAGTACCTGGTACATATTAACTCACTTGATAGATGTTGGTCAGTGGGTAGGAGCTGCTTTTGTTAACTGACCCTTCATGTCCCTGGTCACTATTCCATCCGTATAATCACCCTTGAGAGGAACAATGAGTAACTACATTGCCTTTCCAAGTTCAAAAACTCCCAAAAAGTTAGAGATGTTTTTTTTCCCTTTGCTTTCATTGTTTTTCATTAGTTGTATTAAGGTATGTTCTATATACAACAAAATGTGTGCATCTTAACTATACACTTGTGTAACCACACAGGAAATCATGCTTTAGATCAGTAAACTACAGTCTCTGGGCAAACCTAGCCCTTTGCCTGTTTTTGCAAATAAAGTTTGATTGAAACCCCGCTGTACTCATTTGCTTACTTACATCTATGGCTGCTTTCATGCTACAGAGACTGAGTTGAGTAGGTGTGACAGAGACCAGATGGCCTGCAACACTTAAGCTATCAACCTTTAATAAGAAGTGCCTTCCCAGTACCTACACTAGACCATTTCCATCACCCCTGGAAGTTCACTTTAGATTTTTGCTAATGCACTCAACACTAGTCTCCCTCTGACAGAATTGTTGGTGTTGAACGGTTCGGATCCAGTGGCAGAAGTTGCCATCCGACAGCTTAGTGAATCTTCAAAACTGAAACTGAAGTCGCCTCGGAAGAAAAGCACGATCATCATCTCGGGCATCTCCAAGGTACAGAAGGGGCAGCCCGGGGAGGTGTCTGTGTCAGAGACTGTGCCCTTCCCCCTCGGTAGGCATCAGCTTAAGCACTTGGTCATGGTTCAGAAAGTTCCCTTTACAATGTCAAATTACATTCCTCATCCAACAAAGGGATGATTTATGATACTGCCTTTATGTGGTCTATCCTGTTTTTGAAGGAAATGTGAAAGGTAAAGCTTTAGTTGTTGAGCGGTTGGTGAGTCATTTGAAGAAAAATGATTGAAACAAAGAAACTTATGTTATAAGACTCCCCATTGGTACTTATGCCCCGATCGAACCCTGATTACAGAAAACTTTCAGGCCCCACATTACACATTTCCAAAGCATTTATGTATTCATTTTGTAATAAATGCGTATGGCTTTTGTAATCAGAAAGAAACAAGATTGTTTTAAAATCCTGATCCCCAGTCCTCCCCCTCTCCTGCTCAATGACATTGTGCCAAGAGTGATTGTGGGTACAAGGCCCAACCAGATAGCAGCCAGAAACCCCTCAGGGAAAACTGCTAAACCACAGACCCTCACTCCTTTTGAAAGTTCAGAATGAACAAGTGCAGGTGAGAAGTCAGGGACAGTTGGGAGGTTTTTATTTCAAACAGAGGGGCTGAGAGGGAAGAATTCTCAACACAGAGGTAGGTTGGATATGCAAGGCTTCCCTTGGTCAACTGAAGGGTGGTAAGAGAGCAGAGCAGTAGGAGATGCTGACAATGAAATATGAGAAATGCTGGACTTCCAGCAAGATGGTGGACTAAGCAGACATACTACATGGACCCTCTACAACAAAGATTCAAGAGACCACATGAAAATCCTGGAACCCTGAACTTCAGAGGGAAGGTTAGAAAAGTGGATTGAGGGCTTACTGCGGGAAGAGGCTGAGCAGGGATGGCGAGATGGGGAGACTGACCGATGAACAGCCAGCGAGATGTAATGCTCCCATCTTGAACCTTTGTAAGTAGCTTTGGCAACAGAAGGTGGCCTGGAAGAGCAAATCCACACAGGTGACAGGAAAGGTACTAGTCTTTCTTTATCTCCAAGCTCCCCTGGTAAGCAGGTGTGACCACTCCCACCCTCCCTGACCTCCAGCACAACCCCTCCTCTCCAGGAGTTAGGAGCCACATGGTTGGGAGTCACCCCAGTGTGAGGTGGGGGCCAGTTATACCACTTTGGTGGGCCACTTTGGTGCCTAGATTCAGACGGGTTTGGCTCTGGACCTACAGAACACACAGAGCTACCACACCAGTATGTAACCAGTCACCCTGCTCTCAGCTACCCTGTGCTCCTAACAGACAGCTACCCTGTGCTCCTAACAGACGCTCCATCAAGAGCCTCCAAAAACTAATTCCAGATTAAGTGCACTGAACATAGTACAGAGGCCAATAGGAACCCTATGTAAGTCCAGGAACTCTCCTCATCCTTCCTACACCCACCTTGTGAGCTCTGTGGCTTACAGGAGGCCCCTAGAGTTTTCTCATATCCAGATGCAACAGATGCACTGGTTTTGGGTTTTAGTTTTGGGGTTTGGTTGTTCCTTTGTTGTTTCATTGTTTTTGTTTGTTTGTTTTTTCTACTCTCCCTTCTTCTCTTTCTCTTCCCTTCATATTTATCCCTTCTGTCTCTTCCTTTTCTTCTGTTTCTCATTCCCCCTCTTTTAAAATTATTTTTTCATTTTTGAACTTTCTTTGCTACTTTCTACTCTCTCTTTTTATCTTCCCTCCCCCTAGATTTTCTCAGTGTTCTTTTTTCCCTTCCTTTTATAATGTCTCTTATTTTTCTATTTTATAGCTCCATTTCTCTGTCCCTCTTTTGTCTTTATAGTTATTATATTGTTTTTTCTGGTTGCTGCCTCTTTTTACTTCACCTACTGGGCCAGAGCCAATACCATCTCCTATGTTGTTGTTGTTGTTAAGTGCTGTCGAGTCGGTTCCGACCCATAGCGACCCTGTACAGGGTTTCTGAGGGTGTAAATCTTTACGGGAGTAGAAAGCCTCATCTTTCTCCCGTGGAGCGGCTGGTAGTTTCGAACCGCTGACCTTAAGGTTCGCAGCCCGATTCGTAACCACTACGCTACCAGAGCTCTTTCTCCTATACCACCTGATAAATGATAGACAGCAGCCAACACCAACCAAACCCACCCAAAACCGAGGTGCATGAATGGCAAGCAAGAATGGTGTACACACTTCATTCTCTAACCATACTCACAGGAGACATTTGGTGAGAGCCTAAGAACACATCAACATGCAATCATCAATTAAATATAAATACAACAACACTGCAATGCCCTAGAGACAACAGATGATTTTAGTGCAACAAGAAGAAACGAGAGAGAAAGGCTCAAACAAATGACCAACATATATAGACAGAAAGAATTTCTGAGGAAGAAAAGATAATGCGATTATCTGGAAAAGAATTTGAAAGAATGATATTTATGTCCCTTCAAAGGATTGACAGAAAGATCAGGACAGCAAGGACAACACAGAATAAACTTCAAAAGAATTCAGGAAAATACTTCAAGTACAAACAGACAAAATAAAAGCAAATTTTGAAACAATGCAAAACCTGCAATTAAAAATCCAGAAGATCAGTACTAAGAGTTGGAAGGGCATTGGAGCCTGTCTTAGTGAGCTTGAAGATAAATCTCTCAACACTAATATGCTAAAAGCACAATCAGAAAAAAATCCAAAGAAAGCTAAGAGTTCTATGAGACACCATGAAGAGGAACAACTGACAGGTGCTTGGAATTCTAGAACAGGAAGAGACAATAAAAGGCAGAGAGAACATTATAGGAAGAAAACTTCCCTAACATCATGAGAGATGAGAAGATAAGCATACAAGAAACTGAAGAAACCACAAACAGGATAGATCCCGAAAGAATATTACCAAGACCTATCATAATCAAACTTTCTAAAACCAAAGACAAGGAAAGAACCCCGAAAGCAGCTCAGGAAATATGAAAATTTACCTACAGAGAAGAACCAATAAGACTAAGCTCTGATTTCTCAGCAGAAACCATGCAGGCAAGAAATCAGTGGGACGATATATACAAAACTGGAAGAAAAAAAAAATTGCCAATCAAGAATCATGTGCCCAGCAAAGCTGTCCCTCAAATAGGAAGAAGAAATTAGGACGTATCCTGATAAACAGAATTTGTAACGGCCAGACCAATTTAACAAAACATGCTAAAGGGTGTTCTGTGGACAGAGAACCAACAACAGCATACAACAACCTGAGATTACCATAAATGACATACCACCTAGAACTCAATCCAGATATAGAAGTATTTAAAGTAAAGCAAACCTTCAAGATTAAAAATAAAGAACCATTTATATTTATAATGAAGTCAACTACAAGACAAAAAGAGGGAATAGTGTAGATCCAGATCTTACAAATGGCAATGAAATCAGGTAGACTTCAAGAGATATAAGAAATGCCAAAGGCAAGCCACCAACAATGCCATTTTGCTTAGGAGTGGATGGCCAAGCTCTTAAGTATGACTTCCTGTGTGCGATTCCATTGATAACCAGCCAAGGGCCAACGGCCCATGGCAACATCCAGACCCATTGTCTTTTCTTTAGGCCTAAATGGATGAGGAAATATTGCTGGTAACATTGTGGATTAGGAGCTGGGATGTTAACCACAAGGTCAGCATTTCAAATCTACCACTTGCTCCAAGGGAGAAAGATGAGGCTTTCTGCTCCCATAGAGTGACAGCCTTGGAAACCCTATACAGGGTCTCTATGAGTCAGAACAGACTCAGTGGCATATAACCACCACCACCAAGTGGATGCAAGGGGTGCTTGATGGTGCAATGGTTAAGTGCTAGGCTGGTAACCTAAAAGTTATTGGTTCAAACCCATCAGCCATTCCATGAGAGAAAAGAGCTGGAAACCCTGTAGGTAAGTTCTATTCTGTCCAATAGAGTGGTTATGGGTCAGAGTTGACTTGACTGCACACAACAAGATGGATAAGGGGTTCCCTGGGTGGTATAGATGGTTAATGCCCTTGACTACTAATAACAATTGGAGGTCCAATTCCATCCATAGGCACCGTAAAAGGAAGGCCTGGTGATTGACTTCCCCAAAATTCAGCCGTTGGAAACCCTATGAAGTAGTGTTCTACTCTAACACACAGACTCATGAGGTCCTCACGAGCTGGAGTTGACTCAATGGTAACTGATTAGATAGATGAGAGAAATAAGGACATGGCCCATGATCATTTCCCCTATTTACCAAAGTGTGTATTCAGTTTCATTAGGGAATTAGGAACCTTAATGTATTCAGTCCATTGCTGTCATTATTTATATTGCTGCTCAAATGGCCCCATCTTGAGTCGGTGGGAGCTTCTTCAGTATGGTACTTAATTCAGCAAAGTGTAGCTGTCAATTGTCACTAAGAAAACTCTCCTGTGAATGCCTTCCTTTCTTCCCACTCCTGCAATCAAGAGCAGCATGACTGCTCCCAAGAAACCCTTCCTATCCCCTTTTCAGTCATTCTCCCATTCTCTAAGGAACTACTGTTCTGATTTCTATAAATCAGTTTACTGCCAAATCATCTCCAACTCCTGGTGACCCCCTTGTGTGTCAGAGTAGAACTGAGCTCCGTAGGGTTTTCAATAGTTGATATTTTAGAAGTAGATAGCCCAGCTTTTCTTTTGAGGTACCTCTGGGTAGACTTGAACTGTCAGCCTTTTAGTTAGCAGCCAAGTGTGTTAACTGTTTGCATCACTAAGACCTGTGCTTCACTTGTTGCTAAATGCCATCAAGCTGGGTCTGACTCTTGGGGTTTGTTTTGTTTTTAAATTTTTTATTGTGAGTTGAGTGATAGTTTACATGGGAGACCATCAGTTCTACACTCATCCTGTCATATTTCGTCTCATTGCAATGATTACAATCTCCTCTGTGTATCATCATTCAACAGTATTTGCATCTATTCCCTCTGTTGTTTATTTTGGATGTACACAAAAACACTCAGGAATATATAATCATTTAAACAACCAAAGGATACATTCTGCAAGTCAGCCTCCTGGCTGCCAGTACACAGCCTTTCTCTTTCCACGTCACTCTTAGGGTTTTGAGGAGCTGCTGGTGGGTTTGAACTGCCAACCTTGTGGTTAGCAGTTCAGTGTTTATCCTACAGCACCACACCAGCATTGACTCTGCTGATATGGAACTGCCTTCTTTTCAGGGGCCAGGTGCCTTCTGATATTTTGAAATCACTGGTCAAACACACCCTGTGACTAGCGCATTGTGAGTCATCTTACCCGCTCTCCTTCCCCCACATACCTGCTCTCATTTTCACTTTCTCTTGGCCTCTGATGTTGTGTTTTTGCCTGGACAGACCTCCTTATCTCAGGACAATGAAGCCGCCCTGATGCTGGACTACGCAGCCTCCATGGACAGTGAGCATCAGGAAGAATCCCTATCCCACCTGGAGGCCACCGTCGCCACCGTCCCACTCGAGGAAGACCCACCTGTGCAGGCCGTACCTGCCCTTGATCCCCAGGAGAATGAACTTGACTCCTGGGACTTGGAGAAGGAGGCTCAGGACGATGCAGAGTGGGACAGACATGTCCTAGTGGACCCTGATGGGGATGAACTGTCAGAAAGCTCCCTGAGCACCTCGGAGCCAGGTGCTGCCAAGAAGCACAAAGGTACATATCCCACTGTCCCCCTGCTCTGCCTCCTCGGCAGCTTTGTGCTCATGCTCGAATCCTTGCGACATTTTTTAGCTCTTGTCATCTGTTATTTATCCCTTCACCCTCCTCGCCAAACACAAACCCATGCTAAAGTTTGGAGCCCATTTAGAGTCTTGGGGTTTAGACTAGACAGCCTGGGGCATATTCCGAATAGCTCCTGAGTGTGAGAATCTGGTCCTCACACCCTTCAACTGGGGGCTGGCAGTGTGCCTGCCTGATGTGGTTAGGAGCCGTCCAGTCAATTTTGATTCCCACTGACTCTGTGTGACAGAGTAGAAGTAACTCAATGAATTTTCTAGGCTGTACTCTTTATGGGAGCCAATAAGCAGGACTTTCTCCTGAGAAGCCGCTGAATGTGTTTGAACCACCAGTCTTTCAATTCATAGCCAAGTGCTTAACCGTTGTGCCACCTGATGTTTCTGCTCAAAGGTGCCTTTCCTCTGAGTGCCCGTTCCCACCAGGAGTAGAGCTATACAAGGTTTCCCAAGCATGTCATCCTATACAGGAGTCCCGGGGTAGTACAAATGATAAAGGTACTTGGATACAAACTAAAAGGCTGCAGGTTTGAGTTCACCCAGAGGCACTTTGGAAGAAAAGCCTGGTAATCTACTTCTCCAAAACCAGTCCTTGAAAATCTTTGGAGGCCATTTTTACTGGGACATACATGGTGCTGAAGTCAGGGTTTCAAACAAGCTTTTTTACAATGTGACACACACACCTGCTTAGAACTCACATGTATACCCCAGATAGATTGAATCAGAATCTATATTTTAATAAGATCTCCAGGTGATTCCTGGTGTGGTGCTGTAGGATAAGCACTGGACTGATAACCACAAAGTCCTCGGTTCAAACCCACCACCCACTCCTCAGAAACCCTATATGGGGTCAGTGAGTGGGAACCTACTGAACAGCATTTAACAACAAAAACTGGGTGATTCTTGTTAAAATGTAGATTCTGACTCTATCTAGGGGGTGGGCAGAGGATGCAAAATCTCAGCAGCAGGTTCTAAGCAGTTTGAAGTCCTGATTGGACGTTGGACGGAGGCTCCTTGGTGGCAACTGGCTCATCATGTATATATGCGAAGCAAAGCCGATGGGGACTAGGCTGCTCTGTATATTGCCGGGGCCTCTTAGACTCCCTTCTTCCAGTGAAAACAAAGCAAAGCCTCACTGCTTGATCTTGAGAGGATCTACAGGGGAGGGGAAAAGTCAGCTACACCCTAGCATAACTGATTACCTTGACATGTATTAGTGACAAAGTGAGCATTTCATTAGAACATTTGCTCGCTTGCCATTGAGAATTATAAATATCTCAAACGTGAGCAGTTTTACCCTTGTAGTGCCTTAGACGTAACAGTAGCTTAAATATATTTGCTAAGGGAAAGTAGTCCAGTGACTGTTCTCCTGTGGGTCCTAGATTTGAGACCCAGCTCCTGAGCCTCAGCTTCCTTTTCTGTAAAGTGGGCACAGTGCCCACCTCCCCATCTTATACCACAAGCCCAGCAGTGATAAAGAAAGAGTAGGGCAAGAGAAGCAGGTGCCGAAGCTTAGCATTAACCCTCGCTCTGCTTCCGCTCTGCTTCCTACTTGGGATCCCAAGGCACCCCTGCCTTCCAGCAGGAAATGGCTCCCTAAAATTTACATATTTACACCCTGAGTTAAGGAGAGCTTCAAGCATCCCACATTAAGCAAGGTTACTTAGGTACCTAAATGAAGGAACCTTGGATATCCCACATCAAAAGATCTCAGGCATCTTGTGTATACTCTTTGGTTGGTTGATGATGCATGGAGGGGATTGTAACCATAGCAATGAGATGATATATGATAGGATGAATATAAAACTAATGTTCTCCCATATAAACTATCACATAATTCACAATAAAACATTATGGAAAAAAAAAAAAAAAAAGATCTCAGGCATCTTAAGTTAGTGGGCATCTCAGGCATCCCAAGTTAGGCGGTATCAGGTACCATGAGTTAGGGGATCACAGGCTGAGAGTTTCAGGGTCCTCTTTACCCTTGTTCTGCATCTCCTCTTCTCCTTTGCTCCTGCTGTTGTAGAGCAGTGGTTCTCAGCCAATGGGGTGATGTTGGAGGCAGTTCTGGTCGACACAGTGGGTGAGGGGTGTTAAAGGCATGGAGTGGTAGAAGCCAGGACAGCCCCCTGCCATAGAGAATGATCCAGCCTCAAGTGTCAGCTGTGTTGAGCTGTTGTAGGGTGCGTGTCTGTCTGTGTCCCTTCTCGGTTTTGACAGCATGCACATCACTGCTTTCTCCCATCATCCATCCCGTTGCCAGAGTTAGAAGAGGAAAGAGGAAGGGTTCTGGAATGTGGTTTCCAGACCACATGGTGAAGTCAGAACCCTGTGCTTCTGTTTGCTCACTCCTTAGTGCGTGGGGAGTAGAGGCTCTGTCCCAGGGATTCGAGTCTGGATACATACAGACCCCTAAGGCAGTCTCACTTTTATCTGTGAGTACTTGGCCACATACATACCTCTGTCCTTTAGGGCCAGAGAAACCAAAGGGAGGGGCAGAACCAAGGTAGACACACCAGAAGGAGAGAGCTGGAGGCCCCGTTATTCTACCCCTCCTCTCACCAGATGGTCCATTTCCTGTTCTCTGTACAGAATCCCAACTTCCCTCATTGACAAATGCCAGACCTTGCTTACCCAAGTGCCTTCAAAGCCTAGTGCTCTATTCCTTTTTCCTTCCTCCTTAGTCTATGAGCACTCTTTCCTTTGACATTCCCTCACTACTTGTGGCTGCCTGTGCCTTTCCCTTCATTGTCCTGCTGGGAGAACCCCTGCATAGTGTAAATAGTTTATGGTGACTATTTATCCAAAGGTCCACTGTTCAAACCTTCTCAGAAGTGCTGCAGAATAAAGGCCTGGCAATCCGGTTCCATAAAGATACAGCCCCCCAAAAAACCCCTATGCAGCTCAGGTCTATGCTGTAGCACATGAGGTTGCCATGACTTGGAATGGACTTAACTGCCATGGGTTGGGTTTGGGGTTTGTTATTTGTTTTTTGTCAGATCGTGAGTCCACCTCACTACTCCAATGCCCTCCAGCTGATTCAGACTTGTAGTGACTCTATCAGACCCAATAGGGCTGCTAACTAGGATTTCTGAGACTGTAAGTTTTGGTGGCACAGTGGGCTATGTTTTGGACTGCTATCCAAAAGGTTAGCAGTTCCAACCCAACAAAAGCCATTCTCTGGGTGAAAGATGAGCCTGTCTGCTCCTAAAAAGATTTACAGTCTCAGAAACACTTAAGTGTAGCTCTGTTCTGTCCTGTAGCCTTGCCATGAGCCAGAATAAACTAGATGGCAGTAAGGTTAGTTAAGCTTTAAGGAAGCAGACTGCCACATCTTTCTCCTGCAAAGTGGAACGACCAGCCTTTAATCACTTTAACATCTGTACCACCAGGGCCCCTTTAGTGGGTGAACACTACCTGGAATCTGCACGTTGGGCTGACATGGTTCAGGCAGGTATGCCCAGAACCACTTCCGCATGAGTTTCCAGATTCCTGCCCCTTCCAGAGCCTGGGCATTTGAAAATGTATTTCTTCATTCACTTTGCACAAATCTGAGATCTTTGAGAAGGACATATTTGGCAGTGTTTAAAATCACTTTCTCATTCCATTGCTGTCTGAACAATCTGATCAACATGGGATGCTGACACAATCCAAGATAATGGTGTGTCACGGGCCTTAAATAATTCTCCTTTTCCCATCAGAAAATTTTCAAAACCACTACTAAAAGGAGCAGCTTGGTGGGGTTTTCTCTCACTTTTAAACTAATGCTAATTTTTTCTAGCTGTTGCTACAAGGAATTTGTTCTCAGTTCCCCAGAGCTGAAAGTTTAAAGTTCTCCCAGAAGTTTGCCATTTGTTAGCACACGTATTGAGAGATTTATTCTCAAAATTAAGGTGGTAGTTACCATTAAAAAAATTTAAAAATATTGAAAGAGGTTCTGAGAAAAAAAAATTTAAATGTTGCCAAATGTCCTGCACAGTGAGTTCATGTATATAAATAATATGAATGGTTCAAAGTCTTACTGTCTTTCATTCTTTATTTTGCTCTTGCATACTTTTCTTTTTACGTCTTGCTTTTCTGGTTTCATCTCGTGCTCATTCCTTTGTTAACTTAAAGAGGATCGCTATGCCAACCAGAATTAATTGCCTACACAGTAAGTTTTTTTTGTCTTATATATATATATATATATTGTTTGTTTGTTTTTTGCTGAAAATCTATGTAGCCAAGTATACACCATTTCAACAATCTCTACATGTGTTATTTATTCAACTCCATTCTCACTATGCTTTTTCAAATTATTCTACCACTGTTGTCTTAAACTCATTGCTTCCCTATGCTTATTATCCACCTCTTGAGTTGTCAATGTCAATTTGATGTCACCTAAAGTAAACTTCAAGGTCAGCGGTTCGAAACTACCAGCTGTTCCGTGGGAGAAAGATGAGGTGTTCTGCTCCCATAAAGACTTACAGCCTCAGAAACCCTATGCATGGTCACTATGAGTCGGAACCAACTCCACAGTACTTAGCAACAGAGTCCTGGTGTGGCACTGTGGGCTAATGCACCAGACTGCAAAACCATTTGAACTGCAAGGTCGGTGGTTCAAGCTCACCAGATGCTCCTCAGAAACCCTATACAAGGTCGCTATGGGTCGGAATCGACTTGATGGTACTTAACAACAACAACAACAGATAATTCTTTAAAAGAGCCCAATGCTGTAAACAGATAGACTTTATGAATTAAGATAAACTTTTTTGTGTTGTTTTGGGTTCAAAGAAGACTTCAGGTTTAAAGATGATCTCAGGGCAATATATTTTTAAATAAAGTGTAACCTTACAATGAAAGAAACATATACTACAGCAGAAAGGGAAGAAAGATGACCATTCTATTCTCTGGCTTTTCTTCCCACTTCTACCTTCCTGGATCACTGTTGTTAAGTGCTGGCAAGTCAGTTCTGAATCATAGTGACTCTGTACAGGGTCTCCAAGGAGCAGCAGGTGGGTTGGAACCACTGACCTTGCAGTTGGTGTGGGTGGTATGCCATGGAGTTGGTTCTGACTCATAGCAACCCTGTATAGGGTTTCTGAGGAGCAGCTGGTGAGATTGAACCGCCGACCTTGCAGTTCAAATGGCTTTGTACAGGGTTTCCAAGGCTGTAAATCTTGACATAAGCAGAAAGCCTCATCTTTCTCCTACAGAACAGCTGGTAGTTTCAAACTGCTGACCTTGAGGTTAGCAGCCCAATTCATAGCTACTGTGCTACCAGACAATCTAGTATTTCTCCTACCATGCCAAACCAGAACTCCTAGTTTTTCCATTTTTGTCCTTACAAACCCACCCCAGCCATCTCCATACTTGCTGCCTACGTTCCTTAGTACTGCTATAACAGAAATGCCATAGGTGAGTGGCTTTAACAAACAGGTATTTTCTCAGTTGGTTGTTAAGTTCCCACCCATAGCGACCCTGTATAGGGTTTCCTAGGAGCGACTGGTGAGCTTGAACCACCGACCTTGAGGTTCAAGCCAACCTTGCAGTCCAGCACATTAGCCCACAGCCCCACATACCGTTTAGGAGGCTAACATCTGAATTCAGGATGTGGGGAAAGACTTTCTCTGCTGGCTCTGACCCAGGGTCCCTGTGTCTTTAGGCTTTTGTTTCGGAGAGATATTCTTGTGGCCAGGCAGCTCTTTCCCGATCACTGCTATTATCAATTGTTTGTTTAATTTCTTTTACATCTCAAAAAATATTGACATAAAACACACCCTGAAAAAAAAAAAAAAAACACCCTACACTAATCCTGTCTCATTAACCTAACAAAGAGAACCCATTCTTAAATGGGACTATATCCACAGGTTATAACCACTTTGGGGGAACACAATTCATTCCATAATACCTAATGTGACCCAACAACTTCCTTTTGAAATACGGGCAAAAAGAGACTGATTGTCATGTCTTATAAATGGATGGGGGTTCAAGTTGAAACATCAAGACATTCTTTGATCAGCGAATTCCAGTTTTTAAGGGTGTACAAAATCCCAACCTCCCTGATGGTTTTGGCCATCATTTTCTTATGCCCTAAACCTGTTCAGGCTCAGCGCCACCACAGTTGGGGAGGTTCCTATCCTGGGAGCACCCCCTTCCCTCCTTTTACTGCTCACAGTGGCATTTTCCTCAGTGGATGGCATTTGGTATGTGGGGTAATGAAGCACAAGGCACCTGCATCTACCCACCTGCTAAACTTGAAAGGCAAGGCCTCGATTACCTTAACACACCTTAACTGATGTGTTTCCATTTTACAATGAGCCAAATTGCTCAAGAAACCATTATTTTGTGTCTCAACATATTAGCACATAAAGCCAATTAACCTGTTGTCCTCATGTCAATTCTGACTCACTGTGACCCATGTGTGTCAGAGTAGAACTGTGCTCCATAGGGTTTTCAATGGCTGATCTTTCAGAAGCAGATCACCAGGACTTTCTTCTAAGGTACCTCTGGGTGGGCTTAAACCTCCAACCATTTGGATCACCCAGGGATTCCTATTGACCACAGGAAAGTCATGTACACATTTAGGCTGACCCTCCCTTTTTCATTCTTCCCAGAAACCCTTATAACCCTGCACATGAATCCCCAACTTTAGGTCACCATACAAAATGTCCTAATGATTCTGCATAAAAGATTATTTGATTATAACCAAAAATGAAAGTTTTTCTTTCTAGCTACTTTGACCAGATGAAATGTCTTTCACCCATTCCTTGAAGAAGTCTTCCTTCTCCCTTTCTAGTGCTTAATCTGGGTAAATAGGATGAGGAAGCTCTTTCTCAGAGTCTGCTCCAATAAGTGGACTCATGAAATAATCGGAGCAGGCTGCTATTCCCATAGAAAGGGATTCATAAGTGGGTCTGGATTAGACTTCTCTCATTGCCTCAGATGTATTGATGTTGGCATCCAAAAAACCAAACCCACTGCCCTCAAGTCGATTCCAACTCGTAACCACCCTGCACAGGGTTAAAGAGACTGTACATCTTCATGAGCGTAGACAGCCTCATCTTTCTCCCACAGAGCTACTGGCATGTTTCAGCTGTCAACCTTGTGCTTACCTGTCCTGTGCTTATCCTACTGATCCTGCCACCAGAGCTCAGACAAACAAATTTTTACCCTGGTTTTGCTGTAGGACAAGCACTAGACTGTTAACCAAAAGGTCAGTAGTTCAAATCAACTAGCCAGTCCTTGGGAGAAAGGTAAGGCTTTCTGTTCCCATAAATACTTACAGGCTTGAAACACAGTGTTTCTATGAAACGGAACTGACTCGATGGCACACCACCACCACCATCACTAAGATTTTCAGCCTCGGAAATCCTGTGTAGGGTCACCATGAGTCAGAATCAACTCAATGGTAATGGGTGATAGGTATCATTTCCGTTAAAGGAAGAAAACTTGGATGAGTATATGGGTGTGGCATGGCTATTAAAATATATATTGGATTATGTCTACCATCAAAAAGAATAAGTTAGCCCATTAATTATAAAGCTCTTGTTCACATGGTCCGACCTATCTTCTTGCACTGCTATAAATACTGGCATGCATATTGTAATGAGTTTCACACGCTAGCTTGAACTATCTACTCCTTTACTTTGGCTGGGCCTGAGTTAACCAGATGTTCAGTCAGGATGTTGAATCAGCTTGTAAAAGAGTAAGCAAGTAAGTGGACCCTTGGAGTTCCAGGGTGAAATACTGGGCTGGTAACTGAAAGGTTGGAGGTTCCATCCAGAGGCCTCTCAGAAGAAAGTCCTGGCAATCTACTTTTTCAAAATCTTCCACTGAAAACACTACGGAGCATAGTTCTACTGTCTGCTCTTGCATGGGTCAGAATTGACTTGACAGCTACTGGCTTGGTTTGTTTCCCTGCTGCTGTATTCGTTTACCCTTGATCTGTAAGGAATTGAAGCTGTTGAAATGATTACTGCAACCTCTTCTCTTCTCTTCTCCTCTCCTCTCCTCTCCTCTCC